GAAAGACAAAGGGTTTTCTGCCTGTCATTTTCTCTGTTTTGAGGCAGCCTCAACTCATGGCCGACTTCCAGTCTGGTGTTTGATAAAAAGGGAATAAGGTTCTCCATGTTCCTCTTAGTACGACTTCCATGTATGTATCATCGTATTTTAATCTTTTAAAGGAATATTCTCTCCTTCTGTGTTCAAGATTTACATGGAGATAAGGATACTTGAAAAGCAGTGAAAACTCACACATACACAAATACAAACATTGAGTGAATTGAGGAACACCTCATATATACACATGCTTTAGTTTTTCCAGGCAATCTTCTCTAATGTTTGTAGCAAAAGCAAGTAAAGCAGTTAATTTTGAGTCATTATTTTATTTAAGTTTACTACAAATGTGCATTTCAGTTGAGATTTGAGGCAGTGGGTTTTTGTGGTTGAGAGTTTTTGTGGGTATTTCTTAGTTAGGAAAGGTAACTAATTTCTGGGGGAAAGAAAGTTTCTCTAAGTAGACTACGAAATACAGAATGGCATTAAGGCAGAGCAGCAGGCTCTAGATGAAAGGTGACCTCAAAAAAAGAGAAAAGCCGTGGTTGTTTAGGCCTTATGGACTTGGATTCATTCTCATGCTTTGCTTCAGGCCTGCTGTGCCATCTCAAGCAAATCCTTCAGAGCAAGATGGTATTTAGCTGCAGGACCAGCCAAGGTCAGGGTTGACCTAAAAAGGAGAAAAAAAGGCTGTACAATGTAGATAGGAGCTGCAGGAGATAAACTTAGTATCTTGATGTTCTAATGTTGTTCTATAATCTTTTCCATGGTGGGGCAGAAAGTGTGTAATGGAAATGTGTATGCATTTATTTTTAATGTGTTTTGTTGTCTAAACAGTAATATATGTCAGTTTCTTCTGCAGATTGTTGGGTTGTTACGTGTTTCTCTCTGTCATGTAGTACTCACATAGTTGGACTCTCAGGCAGAGGGTGTGATTATACCACAAGGATGTCTCAATAGCTGCACTTCTCTGAGAGCAGTGGTATCATGTGAGAACTGGGGGAAGAATGGCTGGAGAGCAGTCCTGAGGAGAGAAGGACTTGGGGGTGGGAGTAGATGAGAAGCTGGACATGAGCCGCTGGTGTGCGCTGGGATCTGGAAGGACAGTTGTGTCCTGGGCTGCATCAAAAGAAGTGTGGCCAGCAGGGCCGGGGAGGTGATTTCGCCCCTCTACTGTGCTCTGGTGAGGCCACACCTGGAGTTCTGTGTACAGCTCTGGAGCCCCCAAGCACAGGAAGGACATGAAGCTGTTGGAGAGGGTCCAGAGAAAAGCCATGAAAATAATCAAAGGGCTGGAGCAGCAATGATATGAAGACAGGCTGAGAGAGTTGGGGCTGTTCAGCCTGAAGAAGAAAAGGCTCTGGGAAGACCTAGTGACCTTCCAGTACCTGAAGAGGCTACAGGAAAGCTGGGGAGGGGCTTTTTACTAGAGAGGGTAGAGATAGGAGAAGGGGTCATGATTTTAAACTGAAAGAGGGTAGATTTAGGTTAGATATCGGAAGAAATTTTTCACCATGAGGGTAGTAAGGTGCTGAAATAGGTTGCCTAGGGAGGTTGTGGAAGCCCTGTCCCTGCAGGTGTTCAAGGCCAGGTTGGATGAGGCTTGTGCAGCCTGGTCTAGTGTGAGGTGTCCCTGCTCATAGCAGGGAGGTTGAAACCTGATGATCTTTGAGATCTCTTCCAACCTTAACCATTCTATGAGTTTATAATAAGAGTTTCTAGACAAATTTACAGCATGACAGAAGCAATGGCTGAACCCTGGAAATGGCAGGAAAAGATTCAAGGCTTGGCTCTCTGTACTGAGGCTTTGGCTTCATGTGTAAAGTTTCTGAAATGTGGTCTCATGCTAGCATTAGTGATTTTGTGTCCATGTGGGTTAGGCAGGCTAAGAAGACATCCAGGATGCTAAACACTGGATGCAGCCAGTGGTTGGATGAATGCCCCTATGGAATGTGATATCAGTAGAATGTGGAAAATATTAAATGCTTAAAGATTATTTTGTATGGCCATTTATGTTATTTTTGCTCCAGCAGAATCCGTGAACTTGACACCGGAAAGGATAGAACTTTCAAGAATAAATTATTTGATCCCTTGTAATCTCATTCTAATTGAAGAATGATGAATGATATAATTGTGTTTTTACAGACCTTGTAGATGTAGATGTCATCAGCTACAGTTGCATGTTTTTGTCTTCTTCTGGATTATACGTGTTTTGTCCTGAATTACTGTCTCATTACTGGAAAAGCCAGAATTATTCAGTGATCCGCATCATAAGTCCAATGCCTTCATCATCTTTGGGTCTCTCCTACCTCTTCTGTTCTCTTTGATCCCTAGCCCTATTCAAAAACACAATCCTGCTTCTTCCTGCTTTTTAATCCTGCTTGTGTAGTTTCAGCTGCAAACCTACAAATCCATGAAATCCTCATGGGAGTTTTCTCAGTCAAAAGCAGATTGATTTCTTATTTAGTAAATTCAGTACTTCTATGATCTGGTCCATCAGTTGCCTTTTTAGTGGAATGCAAATACCCAAAACTTGATGGTATATTATAGTACCTCCTAGAACACCCTCTTTTATATCCTTTTTTGCTCCTGTTACACTCTTTGTTAATAGAAAGAACACCAGACCTGTCTGTGCTCCAGGCTAGATAGTTTTAAGAACTGCAGCATGATTCCTCTACCTTCTATTCTTGAAAAAGTACTCTGGTCTGTTTCTGGAGAAGAAGGAAAAAAAAAAAAAAAAAAAAAAAAAAGGCAGAGCTACATAAGGTACTTCTGCTTTCCACAACTGGAGCTAATTTTTGGTAATTTGATACAACTAACTGTATGTGCCCAAGGAAAGCTTCCATGTTCCCATAGCTGACTGCTCCCAAGACTAAATCTGGATGTCCACAGCTTTCCATTAAGCCACAAGTAAAAGGAAAAGAGCTCATTGTTGTGAGATTCTGCTGCATGTGCTTCCTTATTCACAGGCTTTCTGCTGTATTCAGGTGCCTTTTTTTTTTTTTTTTTCTTGATCATTGAGTCTTAAGACTGCTGGAAAGCATTGTAATTTTTTTTTATATAACATTGATAATTTTTTGCATGCATATTCAGGAATTTTAGAAGTATTTTTGCAATCTCTATGTTGTGGATATTTTGCCTTTGTTGCCATCTTCCAGCTGTTTAATTCCAGATTTGGGGCTATCTGAAATCTGCTTTTCTCTGGGTTGCTTTTCAGGATTAATATCAGGCATGTTTTTTTTCATTTTAGAGTCAGCTGTTTTGTTATTTCTGAACAAATAGCTTAGCTGTTCTTGTATCATTTTTAAGCACTGTATTGATTCAGCAGAGATTCATTCACCTAAAAGCTTCAGGCACTTAAAGTACAGAAATCTCTCTCTGTCTTTCCTCTAGTTGCCAGAGTTTAATGTTGGTACCTTCTGCCTAGAACCGAAGCAAACAAAAATTAATAGTGACCATAATTGTGTTAAATCCACTATGAAAAACAGGTGCATCAGTGAATTTTTTTTGACAGATTGAAAGATAATTTTTGTAAACTCGCAGCATCCTCAGAATAAGTGATTTCATGATCTCCAGATTTCCAAAGAATTGTGGTCTGTGCATCTCTTTTGTGTTGCTTAGCACAGTAGTGTCTTGTACTAGCACTGAGGTGAGATTTTCAAAAGTACCTGTGTTTGAAATGTACTAATACATTTTTTATGAGATTAAAATTACATCCTTAATATTAATGTTGCACACTTGATTTATAGCAAAAATTGAAAGCAGATTAGCATTGGTTAATACAATAATCATTGTATTTGAAGTACTGTATTTAGATTTAATTAAAGCAAGGGGAGCAGGTATATGAATTATTACCTAAAGCTATGTTAATCTTTCTAAAACGAATTGTGAAGGAGAATTAGAGTGCTACAGTTATATCTTTAGTGAGGACTGAAAATTTGCAGTATATTAAGAGGCATGGCAGCTAGTCATGATTCCTATTGATGAATGAAACTTGTGGTAGGGTTGTTTTTTTTCTTCCATGTACCTAGCTTGATGGATTCTGTGTGTTGCTGCTGGACATTGTATTGAAGGTGCTATTAAGTGTGGCCATGTCACAGAGCTTTCTACTTCCTTGTTTCATAGTTTTCAAGCATCTGACTGGTTAGTGTTCAATCACAGCCTATCTACCCCTGTCTCCCCACTTTTTTTTAGGCAATCTTTATTTTGTGTTTCTCTTCCTTCTGCTGAAATACAGGTCATGATTTTGAGTTCTAAAATCTTATAGCACTTTCCAATGGAGAATGTGCCTTGAAGATTTTATACAGGACACAAAATTGATTTTCTGTTTTTGGTTTGAAATAATACTGACTTCACTTTATCCAGGAACAGGATTGTACATTCTTTATACTTCCCTCTCATCCTTTTCCTGATCCTAGCTTAAACAGCATGGGAGGCTAACGTAGCCAACTTGGAAACTTTTTCAAGTAATTTTTTGTTGGAGTGAAGAGATGAGAGGTGGTTTCCTTCCTATCATGTATGGAGATGGGGTGAAACACGGTTTAGTGCTCAGAGCAATACTCAGTTCATGCACTGGCTTGCTGCAGTTTTTTGGGTAGCTTGCTTAATTAACTCTGAGAGCTTCTGGGCATAAGCAGATGTCAGGATGTCAGTGGCACTTTAAATTAACCAGATGATTTTGCACTGAAGTAGGCTTTCACCATCTTTTATCACCACTCAGCTGCAGAGAGCTGACTTCCAACTGAGAGGAGGAAATGAATGACTTGGAGCAAGATGTGTAAAGAGGATGTGATTATGCTGTATGAGTTCTGATCTGTAAAGCTTTAGCTGTTCATATGTGCTTATTCAGATGAAGCAATTGAGATCCTGAGGTACAAGGTACTCTGCAAATGTAAATGTTTATGATTAATAATTTAAAGAAAGGTGGCATTTAAGATAATTTCGTATCAAAACATGATAATAAAATTAATCTGAAGTTTGTCCATCATGAAATCTCTAACCTTTGGGGTAATGAGCTATTTAATGAGTTTAAGTATACACTGTGTTCTTTTCACAGGGCTTGCAAGATCACTTGAATAAGTTTTCTGATAATTTTGATCAAGTTCTGGCTTTCAAACCTACTGGATGGACCTACTCTGATTCATGCCTTTCTCTGGTGGATATCAAACCTCAAACAAGAGGAAAAATCACCATATATGGTATGAGTGGTAAAGATTCAGTGTATTAATTTTGTGTGGATGCTTTCCGTATTTTTATTCTGGAAACTCCTCTTGTTTATTGTAACAAATGCTTTTTCTGATAACTTGTTGAGAAACTGAACAGATGGATCTCTGCAGGAGAGATCTGTGCACTGAGTAGTCAAGAACATTTTAAATGCAAATTTTTACATACATTTTGCTTCTATCCTCTTGCAAAAGAAAGGCTTTTATCTGATATACATAGAGACTTTGGGGGTGAAATCTTGGCCTGACTGATGCTGGAAGTGTGGTTCCAGAGCCAAGATTTCATTCCATACTTCAGTCATTTGAGAGACTGTGGGTCTTCCTCTCAGTCCTCATTGGTGCATTGAGTTGAATTTCTTGAAGTGTTAACATTCATTGAACCAAATGCTGAGTGTCACTCACTTTGAACTGATGAATGACTTGGTAACTTAAAGCAAGGTAATTGTGCCAGAAGGAAAACCTAGGTTTTCATTTTACCTCAGATATAAACTTTAGATCTCCAATATTAATTTAAAAAAAAAAATTAGCTAAAGTATGTCTTAGCTGGAATGTTTGCAGAAGTGTTCTGGAAAGAAGCCAAGTAGTCTGATAGATGGCTGTGATTTGTTAAATTTCAGGGATTCCTTACAGTGAACACAGCAGTTACCTGGAAATGAAGCGTTTTGTTCAATGGCTGAAGCCACAGAAAATCATCCCTACTGTAAATGTTGGTGACTGGAGAGCCAGAAGCTTGATGGAGAAGCATTTCAGAGACTGGATGATTGAGAATATTAGGCATAAATAAATATAAGGAAGAATGTATATTTCAAAAGAGGTAGGCTGGAATGGGAACTGTGATTTCCTCTGAACTGTGTTTTATCTCCTTTTTCCACAGAGCTTTCTTTAGGGAGGACTAAGCTCCCACTCTTCTGAGAGTGCTGAATTTGGAAAAAAAAAAGGCACCTTGCTTGTTCATGTTCCTACTACTTATTTTTCCCATAACTTAACTTTTCCAGGAATGCATAATTCAGGTTATTTTTATCTTACTCCTTTTTTTGCCATTCTTAATTTTCCTCAGATTATGGAGATGCCCAGTTGCTGGGGGAGAAACGACCTCCAGGTTAAAAATTTCTGAAAATAAGTGAATGTAATAAAGGAGACAAAACTAAGCTTATGGCACATGCTGTCAATTCAGGCTTCGGAGAAGCTTATTTCATGAGGCAGAACTGCCAATTGCAAATTTAAATTTCATAAGCAAAATTTACCTCATGAAAGAGGATTGGCTTGGGCTCTTGCATCATATGTACTTGGAGAATTCAGTTTTATAAAAGGTATTGCTACCTACATTCCACTCAAGGTTTTCTGGGGTTTTTTAATATTATTGTTTTTAATAAAGAACCTACAGGAATACTCTGAGTAAAACACATTTCTTTTCAGTACTGTAGTTGCTAATGCAGGAAACCTGTATGTGGTATTTTTGGTTAATTTTCTGTGTGTGTTGCTGCTATAAGGTTGCTCTTGCCATCCTGGTTGTGCAAAGTCTCAGCATGTGGTCAAAGCACCAAGTGGTCCATGTAGTCTCCTACAGTGCATTTGGGTTTGCAGTGTGGATGTACAGGTTTGTTACTGGATTTCTGGAAAAGCAAGAAATGCAAATATTAGTACTGGCAGCAGAAAGGTAAGTTTCATTTTGCATTTTCCCCACTGAATCCTACCAGATGATCAGTGTTGCTTTTTCTGTATCTGCTTGGTATTTATGGTACTGAAGTATGTGATTGCATGCAGGCACACTAGTATAATTTTAAAAACTAAAATAAGAACCATTCCAAACTCCTAGGACTTAGAAAAGTTGAATCATGCGTAAAGAATCATCCCCCAGCGCCTCAGAATAGCTCATCTGAAAATTTCAATGTCCTTTTTTGTCAGGAAAACATTTCTTTAATGATCAGTGTAAGTATACACAGATCCTTGTCTTTGAGTGATGAGCTCTGCAAAGTGAAGGCAATTTGTTTTATTTCTGTCTTCTGAGAGAAATAACTGTGTCAATGGGAGGAAAGTTCTTCTTCACAGTTCTTTCAGTACATTCACTGAAACATGGCATTGTTTTTATTTTATGTAATCGATTATGATAGCTCTCCTTCTTGCAAGAACTGCTGTCTTGGGTTGGCATGCTCATTCCTGGGATTCCACTCCTTTTTGGAGAAGGTGTGTGAAAAATTATCTTTTATGGGCCTTGTAAGTGCCAAGCCTGAATTAATGCCTTGTAAAGTTCGGAGCAGCTCTGAGGATTCATTTTGGGAGGCAAATGCTTCTATCAGTTGAATTGTTAAGGGATTAGGCATGAATTTTTGGACTTCCAGCTGGTTTTCCTGACTAATTTTGCGCCAAGTATGAAGGCCTAGAGTAAGCATCCCAAAGTAAAAAATCTTAATCACCATTCTGACATCCTCTTGCTTCATTAGTTGCATTTTCAAGAATTAATATTCCCGCTGGAAATGTGTGTGTGCTCTCAGTGTGCTGGTGGTGCTGGACTGCAGCTGGTAGGTGCGAGACACCTGGTGCCTCTTTGTGGCTCTGCATGCCATGCTTTCAGTTTCTGCCCTCTTATCCAGAATGAAGGGCTGGGTTTTTTTTCTTTTTGCTTTTAAAAGCAAACTTATTTCTGAAACTAACCACAAAAATGATGTATCTTGGAAGACACTGACATTGGCATCTGCTAGACTGACCCAGTTAATGCTGTCCTGATTTGTAGCAGATGCTGATGGCTCGCTTTGGTCAGCAAAGCAGAATGGTTTTTGTGCTGGGTTCCTTTTTTGTATCTGTGTGCTGGAGTCTGTTTCCAGTTGCCTGCTCTGCTGTAGGTATTCCTGTGTCAGTGCACCAGTTGCTTTCATTCCTCCCTCTGTCTGCTTTGTATTTGCAGTTCTACCAGCTGGTTTTTGTGGGTAGACTTGAATTCTGCAGCATTTCATCTACCTTCATGTTAGATCTCCACATTACCCACTTACTTGGCCTCCTTCATATGGAAAAATGTCTTTTCAGAAGCCAGACTCCGGAAGAAGTTGTTATTTTTGTTCTCCTTATTGTAAAGAAGGAAGATTAATACTAGGATAAGATTGCTTAGATTGCCAAGAAAGCCATATAAGCATATGTGGAAGACCATTTAAGAATTCTGTGGAAAGGTTTATAGGGGGTAATTTTCTCTTCCCATGTCTAGGCTGTTCCAAGGGATGCTCTCTGATCACAGCAGGTTGAGTCCATTGGGGAGGACAGGCCTATGATAAATACCAGATTTCAGCATGTGTAATGAATTGGGACTTAGGGAGTGGCTCCACTTTTCATAAGGAAGGAGTGAATGTTTTTTTCTGCTGTTTGGCAGCACTGGCATTATGGATGCATGAGTGAAAGCATTTGTTATTTTGGCTTAGAGCAGTGGCTCAAACTACAGCAAATCTGTGTTTTTGTCCAAAGCAATAGACTGGGATTTTAGTCTCTGTATTAAAAACAACCTGAGTCCTCTGGACAGTGGGGTAGATGATTCAGTCTGTGTCCTTACCTTTGTATGAAGTGTTGCATGTGGACATAAAGTCAGATTTTACTGAAGCAAGAGTGGCTTGTGGACATCCCAGAGGCTCTTTCAGTTTGTCTAGTGCTGGCAGACTCGGGGTGGAAGGCAAAGCAAAGGAGAGGAGTGTCTGTAACACTCTCTTGATCAGCGCCTGGAATGGTTTTCAAAGCCAACCACTCTAAAGAATCACTTTGTATTTCCCATCAGGACTCCTGCTCTGATTACGTATCACCCCAATAGGCAGATAAATGAGCTAAAAGCAATGCTGTTTGAAAAGGGGAGAGGGAGAGGAAAGGGAGCAGGAGGAAAGCAGCTCACTGGCTGTGCCGATTTAGGCAATGGGTTTGCAGCTGGCTGTGATAAATGAAAGCAGCGGCTTTCACTCATGGCCCACGGTCACCACTGAGGAGGCTTCTGGGAAGACAAGTCTGAAGACATTGCAAAATAAAAGCATATGGACAATTAAAGGGAACTTCAAGGTGCCAGGTTTCTTTGTAAACCTTGATGTGAAATAACAATTGATACTAACATGGGGAGGAGAAAGGAACAAAGGTGTCATTGGGATGGTTAGAGCATTTCTCTTATCTGATCAAACCTGTCTTCTCATATGTGCTTAGTAAAGGCTATTAAGATAAGCTGCCACTTAAGTTTGGGGATTTTTGAAGATAGTGTGACATCAGATACTTCCCGAATGAAAATTTGGATTGATTTTTACTGATACTGTTTTGAATTTGAAGACCACTTTAGGCAGATCACGTAGGAGACTTGTTACCATGTCATGAGATACAGTTACTGCCTTGATGTGATGCCTATTGAATAATTTTTGGTGACTTGTCTTTGGTAGGGGACAAAAAGCAGGTCAGTTTTGAGAACAAGAGAATGCAGCCCAAACTTCCCAGTCCTCCCTAAGCTACAGAAAACCAGCTCCTTCTCACTTCAGAATCAGAACAAGAGCATATTTTAAGGGATTTAGTAGAATGATGCAGTTTGAAATTCTGTTCGGTATCTGCCATCCCAACTCAGTTGTGATTGCAAAACACTCAGTATTTGTAAACTATCTAAGGGGAAATACCACACAGATGAATGAAATTCACAGGAATCCTTGAAAGTTTGTTAGTACAAATATTAGAAGTTGAAGCTCTTGTACTTCAGTGTCACGTGTTGGTTCAGAGCGTAAAAGTGCATTTGGATGCTGAATTTCATGCTCTCCCCAGAAGTGCATAGACAATCTAGGAGCTAACAGTCCTCTGGCAGAAGTGAAGGAGAGACAAAATGGGCTGTGCCTGTTTGCAGGAGAGGAGCACTGGGCAGAAGAGGTAGCTGCCTTCCCACTGAATCCAGCCCAGCTCTACCCACTGTCTGTGCGTGTGAGTTTCAGTGGCTGAGCTGTAGCCAGCAAGGGCAGAGCCCTGCACAGTCTGGATGCCTGTTTCCCCTTTCTGCTCTGAACCTTTCCCCACTGTTGTACAATGGCACCTTGTTATCAAATCTCCAAATACTTTGGCAGGGAAGAGGCTTTTCCACTCTGTCACATCTGCTCTGGTATCTCAAAACAGATAGTGACTTGTTTGTGCTGGTTTCCACTAAGTGCTTACATAAAGCAAACAGTTTTTAAAACTTCCAAGCTTTCCCATTTGGCATTTGAATTTAACTTTATTGACCTTTCCTTCTGTACATTATATTGGTTGTTGAAGATGGAAGAGGAAAAAAGTTCACCATCTCGGAAAAAGAGACCAGCAGGGCACCCAAGGAAAAGGTAACACAAGGACACAAATGCAAACAAGGGTGACTGGAGCTTGAACTCAGCAAGATCAGGACTGACCCTGAATTTCTAAATGTACCAACTCCTACTGCCTCCCGCCCATCCCTACTGCCCAGCACCTTCCTCCCTGCGGGGAAGCAGTGATTTCAGTGAACTCTGTTGTGAGAAGCAAAATTTATTTTTTCTGTTCACTCCAGTCATCTGTCAGCTCCTAGCAGAGACCTCCCCAAATGCAGCTCTGTCGGCAGCAGGATCTAACCCACTTTTCAGCACCTCTTTAAAAGAAGAGATGGATTGGGACATTTATCCCAGTGGGGCTTCCTCAATCAGAGAAAGACAGGTTGGATTTCACTTGTTACTGGAGCTGTGTTATTTGCTTGGCTCGCTGCCCTGCTCTTCGTTGCATCTCTTGCTTGAAAGAGGGGGATAAAGCTGAAATTCCGTTCTTTGTGCTGCTCCCCAGCGACCGTCTGAGGAATTGAGCTCTGCAGCGCAGCATGGGCCTGGATTTTTTTCTCTCGCCTTCCTGGTCACTCACAGCCCAGCTCATTCGTCTCTGCTCTTCCCCAGGGAGAGCA